AGGAACATTTCTGCAGATGTAGGGGAATGCTTGTACCTGTGCTAAAGTTACTTTCTTTGTTGCTGCTGGATGCTCTTCCCATCCCTTGAGGCAGTGACATGGAGCCCATCTTTGATCCATGTGTACCCACCACACCTTTCCAGTTGGCATTGAAGTCCACATCTTTGCCAGGTCTACCAAAACTTGAGTGTGGACACAGTTTTGCATATATACCAGCCCCAGAAGATGGCTCCCTCAAGCTTTCTGTGCCTGCACTGGCTCCTCTTCCTTCACTACATCAAACACACAAACTACTTGTTCTTCACCTTTAAGACCCTTCAGAACCCAGCTTTGCCCTACCTGTCAATTATAATAAAATGCTGGGCTATCAATCCCCTCTTCTGCCTTAATTACACCAGACTACCTCGCCAATTAGTCCAGTCATTCCCCTCAAGCATCCCCTGTGCCAACTTACCTCCTACATTCCCTACAATTGGGAGATCCTTCTAGGAACTCCTAAGCCCATCAGCTCACTCCGTTGGAAAGCCCACCATTGTAATTCATGCAGGTTGCTGTGCCCACAAAGTGCCTGACAATTCTTAAGTGGTCAGCGTGCAGCAACTGCTGCTTTGTGTGCTGAGCAATCACCTGGCTCTTACCTCCTCTTACTCCACTCATCCCCTTAATCCCTGTGCCTGCAATATGTCCCTGTTGTAAGTAGGTGGAAAGGAAGAGCACAGATGTGCAGCACTGACCCACAAATCCAGCCCAACTGGGTGCACAGCAATACTTGCTTGGCCTGTGTAAGAAAGCACAAGCAACTGATGGAAGGTACAGTGCAGAGAACATACAAGAAGTACACTGCTAGGAGAGAAAACCCTTGGGCACCTGACTGAACTGAATCATGCCACAAAACCCTTACATAGATCAGTGTATTTCCTTGATAAAACTGATGGCCATGTTTAAGGTTAAACACAACTTAGTTCAAAAAGACACTTTTATTCTGGACATATTACGTGTGTGTTTGTAATTTGTTTTACCCAAAGCATCTACCTTGCCATGCTATAACAGCCAGGCACACTGTCCCTGTTGCAGGCTGGGGACAGCCAGAGGCACGATGGGCTGAAACACAAATACACATTTTTCCCTAAGCACACAGCAGAACACAACAGCCCTGGTAAGAAAGATGAACCTAGTGGAGAAGGGGTGGGGGGAGAGGGGGGAAAGAATGGGTTTAGACCATGAGCATGTAGACCAAAACCCCTGGATAAAAACTGCAAGCACCATAGAAATCATTCAGTAGGGAGCAGAAGGGCTGGGAGGAGTGCTGCAGGCTGAGACAGCATTGCTGTAGAGCAACAGCTCCCCACAGCATCTTCCCAACAGCTCCTGGGCTGTACTGGGGCTCTTGAAAAAGCACCTCTCCCTTACCATAAATTCTTGCTACACTGTGTAAAAGACAGCTGCCATCTGCTTGGTGTTGTCCTACTGAACAGTTTCTGGAAGGGATGGCCTCACCACAGCAGCAGCTCTGCTGTTCCACAGACAGTCCAGCAGCAACACAGGGGTGAAACTGCCCAGTTTACTCAGTCTGAAGGGTCAGCCTGTACTGCACAGACACAACAGAACAAGCTTGATAAAACTGTTTTTAAACTCCAATTGGGATGTTAATAATGGGAAGTTCTTAATCTAATCCCTCAAGCAATACTCCAGCAGAAGGAAAGCTGGTGTGTCCCAGACATACCTCTCCTCACACCTAGGCATTGCTCCCTTCACTCAGAACTAGCAGAGGATCAGCAATATCACTGTTCATTAAAAAACTCCCTGCTTTTCAACTCTGAATTAATTGTGCTGTCAGCATGAGTCAAAAAGCATTTTTTGCAATTTTGTTCTGAACAAAATGGGTATCGTTTTCTTCACTAGCCAACAATTCCAGGAAAAAAACATCAGCGTTGCATAATGAACCACTATCATTTTGTTCTGCCAAACAGTTAAAGCCATCTTTAACCCAGAACATACTGTACTAGCACAGAACTGGAGACACTTTCTCTGTGCATTCCCCCTATAGCCTAGGTTGCAGCATCTATCAATTTATAGCCAAACATCTCAGCAGCTAAAAATGTGGTATGATGTAATTTTCTGCAAGTGAAGAGATAAGAAGGCTCTTGGTGTCATATGAGCATCACTTCTATCCTGCCTTCTATCCTGCTAATTGCATTACCTCTCACAGAGGAGGAAGCCCACATTTCCTAAACATGAAACCCAGCATTAAAGCCCTTCACTGCAGCAACAGACCCAGCATAGGAAAATCATCTGCAGGCACCAAATCATGTTTCTACAAACAGTCTCCAAGTGCTTGACTTGGCCTGTCTAGAAATGGGAAAGGTAATCCACAAGGTTGCTGGTTTCTCAGATGCAGACTAGTAAAACATGTAGCCTGTACAGTTTGTGAGCAGAACTTAAGTCTTCAACCTGAACGACAAAGCATGTAAGCAAGCTGTAGCAGTAGTATAGTAGGTTATGCCCTGGTGAGAGAGGAATAAGAGCAGTTTGTATGCCACTCAAAGCTATAAAGACCTATCATCCATTACTTAAAATAATAATCAATAAACCCACATGCAAACAGAGGTAGTTGGAGGGCAAAAGACTCCAGTGCTTTCACAGACTCAACCCAGACACATATCAGCCTCCTCCTTCCATATGCAAACGAGAGCTCATGCCAAAAGGAACTTTGCTTTTCCTGTGTGTTTTTATCACCAATATACAGTTAGCAGCTTGAGTATTTCAGCTGCCACTGGACTTTAAAGTTAATAATTCCTTGAAAGGAATATTATCAGGATCTGCTGAGCCTGCAAGCTGTGTAACTTTACAGTTACCTTGGCAATGGTTGTTGCATCCACATTCAGAAGCCCTGGTAGGTCTGGGCTGCCATGCTGCTAGAGCAGTATGTACCAAACCAGAAAACTAACAATAGCTCCTGCCCAGAGGAACTTCACATCTGCACAAGCTCCTCCATCACATTACTACTAATTACTGCACTTGCAGATCATCTACAAAGAGCTATGCAGTATAAAGGTGGCCTGTCAGCTGGTGTGCCACTGCCAGCACACGGGCAGCTGCAGCACACGCTTCTGGCTCAGGACCAGAGGTGTGAGCACCGGGTGTACACATGCTCTTACATATACCAATTCCCCTTGTGATAAAGCAAAAATCCTGCATATGTGGAGAAGATAAAGGCTACCTGCAACTCTGACAGAAGGATGTGCTCTTCAGAGTGCAAACAGATGAAAAAAAATTCCCAATTAAACACTATAGTAACCAGAAGTAGGTCAAATACCAAAAAAGATCTCCCCACTTCTTTTAAATGGGAAAAAAAAGGATAAAAACTCTCATCATAACAACATACCAACATGCAATGATCTCCTCTTAAGAGCAGATGCCTGGATGACCAGTGGACTCAGGAGAACCCAGTGGAGCAAGCCAACCAGTGAGAATACCTTCTAGAAGCTGCTGCCTCTGTTTAAAGACTGAAGAAGGATTTTCACCCAGAATTCATAACCATAAAAAGAGTGAGGTCTTTCAGGAACTCAAGTTGAGCAGCATAAAATATCACTATAGTAGGTAATCCAAACTGATTTAAGCCAAACATACAGTCTCACACAGTCCCAAGGTAGTGCTGTCAGACCACAACAGCAGCAGCATTCATGTACAAACTTTTTCTAACAGTAGTTGCAAATGGGTTGATATCAAATGAAGTGAAAAGTTGAACAGACTTATTAATCCCTTTATTAGTGCATCTGAGTGGAACCTCAGGAACCCTTTAACTCCATGCTCAAAGGAGGACCTCACTGGGAAGGACATGTGGGCATGGTAGAAGTGTTGGCAGGATTATTGGCTCATTAAGGATAACCTAAAGAGGAAACCAGAATTGAATTTGTGCCCTTTCATGTCCCCTTATGATATAAGAAGAGCATCTAATTGTTTTCTTCTTAAGAGGGTTTTTCCTCCTTATTTCTATGTTGGAGATTTTATACCTGGAGAGTAGCTGGAAGGTGACACTCAAGATGTTGTGAATGTGAAGCCTGGTAAGTGGAAAAATAATGCCATCTTTATTCAAATGCTTTACAACTTTAACATCTGTTTAAATCAAATACATAAATTAAGGGTAAGGAGAGAATCCGGTTCTGTTGAAGATATTACAAACATGCCCCTTCAATAAAGTCATCAGTTTCCTACTCATAAATGAAACCCTTGAACAGCCATCCAGCAAAACAAGAAATAATGGATTTTATCCTTTTTAATCTCCCATTATTAGTCTTCCTCAGGAAGAGCAGAAAAGCTGAACAATTTCTTTCACATGTCTTCCCACAATAAAAGCCAAAGCATCCATGAAGAAAATGAGAACAAGCCCACATATCCTCCTCTATCCTTACATACCCTGGTAGAAAATAAGATTGCTAATAATAGCTAACTCCTCTCTGGGTGAGACCATACACAAAATGTAATCCTTTTAATGTCAATTATCACAACATTGCCTTCCACAAGCTTAGGACAAGGCTCTAGGAAAGAAACCATTTTTATGCAAGGAGCTCCCTTGGCCCCACACCTTTAGCTGACTACAGGTTGGAAAAGCTCACAAGTCCTGCAGGGATGGGAATGGCTCAGCAGACCTTTCAGTCCAAGCCTCCATTTTGAAGAGCTCCAGGTGAAGTCAGTCTTTGCATGATCAGTTTCAGGTGCCAACACCGTCTCCTAAGGGACATCCAACACCAGGCCAGCTACCACTCTAAAGCCCTTTTCCCCAAAGCCACATAGCTATCTCCTTCCTTTCCTACAGGCCTTAAAGAAAACACAGAAATATTTCTGGAATATTACAATAAACATTTCTGCAACAGAAGCAAAATAAAAATAAACCAAAATGACTGAAGCATTTGTGAAGTGCAGAAGACTGCTTGGAAGCACATACATCCAGGTCTCACAACAAAGTCGATCAAAACCGAAAAGCCCGAAGGCTTCCAGTATTTCAAACCAACACTTAAAGTCCTTAAAGAATGCACCAAGTACTAAAAAACAAACAAAAACCCAACCAAACAAAGAAAAGAAAAAGCCCAACCAAAATTTGTATCCCTTAAGCTTAGGAAAAGGTGTCAGCAAAATGGACACATACAGAATGGAAATTAATTATCAGCTCATCTAAAAACACAAAGCCAAACCCTCAAACAAGTCCTTTAAGCCCAAAAGACAACGCACAGAGATGCTGCCTCTATTTCTGGCACAGAACAATTTCAGAGCTCTAGGGCCACAGTCTACAGCAAATAATGATGAGCAAAAAGGAAAAAAGCGACAGGCTAGAAGGGCGAGGAGCCAGAAGAGAACAAGAAGCCCAGAGAAGATCATGGGCTGAAGATGAATCACATCTGAAAGGAGCAACTTTGCTTTCAAGTGAGATGTGAAAAGCCTCACTCCTAGAGACAACACGACCACTGGCTACTGGAAACATGCTGCAATAAAACAGTAAATAAAGCAGACTCAGAAAAAACAGATTTTAAACTGACCTTACTGGTTTCAGTGTTTAGGCTAGGGAGAGCTTATCAAGATTTTTACATATAGGAAGAATTAGTATTTGCATGCCTGTTCAGTTAGAAAACTATGGGAGAAGTAACGGAGGGAGATGTCCACCAGGGCTTGGCTTTTGACCAACTGACATCTAACACAGGAACCACTCACACAGACTGTCAGGGTCCCCAGCAGGAAAAACTGCAATACAGCATTTCCTGATAAATGTGCATATAAAGTTTTAGCTAAAACAGGACTGAAAAATTATAAAATTCAGTGTGGGGAGAAACAAACCAAAAGCACTGGCAGATCACAATTCAAGAGCTGGTAGTCTCCTTAAAAAAAAAAAAAAAAAATATTAGCAGTGATGGCATTAGTTGGAGAGAGCCACACTCATTCCTGACACCGTTCTTGCCGACACTCCCTGCAGTTCAAGGAGCTTAAACTGCAATCCTCAAATTTATATCCTCTTAAGTTACAAAACAAATTGAACCAATCCCAAGATTTGCAAAATTTTAGATTAATTTTCAAATGGGAAGTGTTTTCTTTCATTAAAAATATTTAAGTGGCTTTTAATTCCTCTGAAAAATCAGTGCAATTCATGTTTTAAAATACACTGCCACATGTGATTGAAGGACACTTTAAGAAGCAGGCAAACGGAACACATTCAACTCTGTAGAAAAAAATAAAATCTAAATTTTATTGGGCTAACATAGGAATATTATTGCTGCAGTATAATTCAGGAATAGAAGAACAACATTTTTACATTTCAGCTGCAAATTAGGCTCAAAAAGCAGCAGAGGAAAACCTCTATAGAGAAATGAATTGCTCTCTGAAAGACAGGCTATTTTGAAGCCATAAAACAGCAGAAAAGCAACAGCAAGTGTTGCATAAGCAGATGCCCTCGCACCTTTCTGTCAGAGTACACACCTGCATAAACAAACGTTTAGCCAAACATCAAAATTTATAAGGAAGCAACCCACCACTTTACAAAATCAGGCAAAAGCAAATTGAGACTCATTGCAGAGAGTCCTGCCCTGAATACTAATGTGTTATTGATACCCCAGGATGGAAACGCAGCGACATCTCGGGTTCCTAAGCAAGCCTCATACATCTGCTGCAGCAGGATCTGAACACGTCTTGATAAAACCTTATTGCTAAAAATTTTGTGTTATCAGGCAGCTTTTGTAACAGAGGCAAAGGCACGGCTTCCCAGCTAGCAAGGTTTTTCCCTGTGCTTATTCTAATGATACACATTCAATTACTCGAGAAAAGAAAAGAATCAAATCAGAAACATCTGTAGTTTGCCATATAATTACTGGATCTTCCCCATGGAGACTGACCTTTGTAACACTGATACCGGGACCTGAAAGGCTAAATGACAGGATATTCAGACGGTTTATATGTATAACATGATTACAAGGAATTAAACTGGTGCTGTTATTTTCCATCTTGGTTTATGTTAACGTAAGCGTGGAGTTTCTGATCTTACATTTAATCTTTGCACTCAGTATGTAGTAGCTGAATTTCCTCACTGTTAGTGGAGCCAAATCATTGAAATGCCATGTTTTGATTATCTAATAAAGTTGAATACTGGATTCAAGGTTAATATTCAGCCATTACTTTTACCTGTAATAAGAATCTTTTCGACCGCGCTTTCTTCCTTGCTCTCATCTTCACACCAGTTTGTGACTTCTGGATGTGAACACACCATAATGAAACACATTTCAAAGTTGCAGTGATCAGACTGGTTTGTTTGCTTTTAAGCCCTACTCCCTTTAATTTCTCACTTTTGTTATCTCTTGTTTATTGATCTAAACTATCCATTACCGTTCTTAAAAGAGGCGCCTACTGTGAACTTCCCTCCCATGCGAGGCTACCCTGCCTCTCTGTAGCTTCCAGAGAAAAAGGACAAGCTAACTAAATGTCTTAAATTATTTAAGACCCAATGGGATTTAGGAAACAAACAGCCCACAGTAACTCTGCGATCTCATCCGGCAGCAGTAGCGTAGATCATACCGACTGTGGAAAATTCATTTAAATCAAAGTCCCCGTCTCCTCTGTGGATAAAAGTCCTGTGAATTTAGGAGGCCTCAAGCAGTTTGTTTACACGTGCTGTGTATAGAGCGTTGCAACCTAATTGCCTGTCTCTTCTGGACTTTGATGTAAGGGATGCTCTGAGAGCAGACTGAGGCAAGTTGCCCTCGCCGGTTATTACACCGGGCTAATATATTGCTTCTTTATCTCAAGAAATTAACTGGGTTTTCACAAACGTGTTCACCTTCCAAGCTCTGAAACAGCCCCATACACCTTTCTCAGCATGAACCCTTTTATTTTTGAAATGTTTTTTCTGCAGTCTGGCTTTATAATAACAGGCAACAAATATATCCCCCAGTTTCTAAATGGTAGGCATCTTTAAATACATGCAAACCTACAGATCTGTTTTTGATAGCAGCCACAAGGCTTGCTTTTCTAATCTTCCAGAAAAAAAGTTGTCTGAATAGGCACCACTCATTTTAAAAAATAACAAGACTGACAAGTGATCCTGAGGTATTTAGGAAAATCCCCCAAAGCTCATCACAATTATACGTTAATTCACTAGTTGCTATAGTACAGCCTCCAGCAGATCTGGATGGAAAATACATGTACTCAGAGAAGGACAGGAATGCTGAGTGTGCAGCTGGACCTTTTAGCACTCGTTACCTTGTTCTCCTGCACCTTCGAGCCGGGGAGCATGTGTTTCCCGAGTTACTCCCCTGCTGTCATTGGGGATCAATGGCAAGCTGCAGGATGATTCATTACTCTGGATAGATGACCTATCCTCACACTCTTCTGGAAGGACCTCTCTCAACAACGATGAAGCCTGCAGCATTAAAAAAATAAAAATAGCCACAGCCTGATTATCCTCCGTCTTGAGCGTTTCCCAACATACTGTACTCATGGGGTACATTTCCAGGGTGTTTCTGTTAGATGTTAAGTTACCTCCGAGTTAAATCAGCACTAGCTCAGGAATTGCTTTCTGCCTTGAAGTAACGCAAACTTTGAAATACTCTTAATAACTAGGTTTTCTGGAAAATCTCAGTATTCCCCATCTCACACATTCAGAGTAAGCAAAACAGAGGGGCATATCAAATACACAGCAACAGACTGAAATCTCCCCATTTTAGGCATGCAGAAGTAAGGCAAGTTAACCCACAGCTACAGACTAAAACACCACCAAGCCCTATGAGTCCAAAGACATAACTCGATGCACAGCTTGCCCGAGTCAGCGACAGCCAGGCATGGGTCTGATTTTAATCCATTTTATTCCTGCATTTTTGTAAGGTTTGCTCTCTCCTGCCTGGGCACACAGCCCTCTGCAGCAGCACTACTTAAACCTCCATAGTTACACAGATTTTACATGCAAAAAATTAAGCTGGAAGCCAGTACCTTCACAGAGAGCTGAACGTACCATGAATACAGCTGAGTTAAAAGGAGGCTTATAATAAAGCAAGCACTTCTCTGGTTACCATCCACCTGTGTGGAAAGTACTGCATGCTGCTTCATAAAGCTCTCAGAGAGCAGGAGAATTCCTCCTTCCTGGCATTGGTTATTTCACAATGAGCAGCAAAGAGTTTTTGGGCATCCTTTGCATCTCTTCTTGCAGGGTGTTCCCCTCAGTTTTGTTTTGTAACACAAAATATAGACTTGAATCTTTAAAATTTACTCGATGTTCTGCTCTTTTCATCTCATTACTTAATAAAGCAATTATTTAATAAGAGAATAAGCCTTCAGCAATGAAGACCAAGATCTCAGAGAACTCCAGGTTTCGTAAGTTATTTTCTATGTACTGACCTAAGAGCATGGAATGGCTTCAAGTCAAAACATTTTGGACTCATAAGAAAATTTTTTTCTCCTGCATCTGCCCTCTCCTCACTAATCCATATTTACTCAGGAACCCAGAATGGCAACTTTGCAGTCTTAAACAAACAGCATGCCAAGTTTTTTTCTTTCTAGTAAACTTATGTATGGGAAGTTTTCACACAAAATGGATGCAAGCAAACTGCTACTTGATTAAAAAAATATGGAATTTTAAGTCTTATTTTCTGCATGTAAAGAATACCTTAAGTTATAGGCAGGGTTGGGAAATGTTTACCATTGAAATAAATTACTTTCCATGTAGCAGTCTATCTCAGTGTGGATTTCGCATGCCGTAAGTACTTTGTTTAACTATCTGCAGTATCAGTTAGCATCTAAATAGGCATGATCCACCAACATTGAATTTAAGCAATCAATGTAAACTTTAACACAGTCATTAACCCAGGAGGATTCCCACCAGGAGAACCAAGTCTCAGTGTTCAGAGTCACAATGACCAAGGCAACTCCAGCATGGCCGACATCTCCATCAGGGTGTGAAGGTATCAAATATGCTGCATAAACCACACAGGGCTAATTTTTACAGAAGTATAACTAAGCTGAAAAAGACCCTGGATTCCACAGCTTCCACAGCCAAAAGACTGTCCTAGTCCTAGCACACTGCATTCCTACCACACCAGCTCCCTATGGCTTGCCCATGTCCACAGGAACAATACCCCATTTTTTTAACAGCAGTAATGGGAAAGAACCCTGAGTGAAGAGAAAAACTGATAGTAAGAGAACATAAAACACACAAAATTCAGTATTGGAATGGGTGAAGGCAGTGGTGGAGAAGGTGGACCTGCTGCTGGTCATCACTAAAACCTTGTGGACTACAGGTGCTGATGGGGATGCAGATGGCAGACGTGGCAGGTCTGTCTGTATGGTCAGAAGCTCAAAGGCCTGCCTGCACTTCCCCCCCACTGCCTGCTTGTACAGGACCATTGTCCACTGGGGTTCTTGCCAGATCTTTAAGGCCTCAGAGAAGTCAGTCATCAACACGGGCCAAAAATTAAAACTTTGGAGTAAAAAAATATTGAAGATCTGTAGATGCGGATCGCTTATGAGTTCACTACGACATTACAAACGTCTTTCTGGTAAAGCAACTGTTCTTATATATGCATGCTGTGTCATTTATATTGATCCTGGTTTGTGAAACCTGCTTGGAAATAAAGTATTTCAGAGCAGGGGACACATCCTGACAGTACAAATAATGGACTGGATCCACTTAATAGGTAATATAAATATTGAATGCATACATGTGGGCCACAGTATCGTGTAGCAGCCAACAGATTATTACTGCATATGCTGTATTACCTGTAAAGCTCATGTTACTGAGCTTTGACTTTCTGCTGGCGACAGATAAATACCAAACAAATTTATAATTGCATGTAAAAACTTTCACAATGATGCAGTCCTTGCTCATCTCTTCTACTTGCCCGAACATTTTAAGGACAGAATACAAATTACTTAACCACATAGAGAAAAAGAAGTTAACCTGGCTGTACCTGAAAGTGTACAACAGACTAAAATATTACATCTTCTTTACTTGCCTCAAATTCTATTTAAACTAGAATGCAGCAGAGCAGTTCAAACTGTTTTTTAATTTGTTATTAAAAATTAAAGGAAAAATATTTTTGGCAAGTATTTTTTGGAGTGGAGCACAGGGTCAGCCCATGACCAGTGGGCTGACTGGCAGCCTGGTTGCCTCCCTAGGGGCAAAAGCAGCCAGCTGAGTTGGAGGCAGCAGGGATCAGAGCCCTGCCCTCCCCACACTGGCTGCTCAGCGTTGGCAGCAAAAGAGATCAGGGCACTCATGGGTCTACTGAACACCAACTTTTTTTTTCTTTTTTAAAGAATTAGTTTATAACCTTTTGTATTTTAAAAAATGAGCATGGTACTATTTGTAAAATGCTTTGTGTATTCACTGTAGCAAACATAACTCTGTTTAAAAAAATAATAAAAAAACATCATTCATGATAAAAAGCTACTAAGCCGCAGAGAAAGACAGATGATATAAGCCTTGTGATAAATTCGCACCACAGCAAATCTGTGAACTTGCTTAAATAAATAACTGTTTTAAAGGGTGACAACCAGAAAGGCTCCTGGAGACGTTAAAGGGGCTGTTTCTCTAGTGGGATGAAGAGCTGTACGCGTTTGCCTCAGGACAACTGAAAAACCTGTATTCTCTCCTCACCCACCTCCTAACTGTCTCTGAGGCTGATTAACGCACACAGACTGCTTGTCATTCCCTTAAAGTCCACCCACCTGATTGTGATAGTGACACAGGGCCTGTCTCACCTTAATGGTGCAAATTACCTTCTGGGTGTCATTGCTTTAGATATTATTAGATGCAAGTGCCAACCTGCCCGTCCTGTGCCTTGCTGCTGGAAACCAGCAGGTTTTCAAACATCTCTGCCACTTCTTCCGTGAGCTGAACCTGGTGACTTTTCAAGAAGGAGGCATGGTTGCTCAAGCAAGTCCGCAGCATTTCCACATCCCACTGCTGGTCTGGCCTGAGAAACAAACCCAGGCACCATTAGTGAGGCACCCCATGTATAAGACTCACACAGTGCCACGTTATGCATTTATCTGGACAAGCAAGTCAACATGCAATGGGAAAAGCAATCACACATTTGTCCTTCATTCCCAATTTTTCTTTTAAAAGAGCCCAAAGTGGAAAATTTAAGAAGTCACTCATGATTTCTGCAAATGTGGGAAGGATGGGCAGGGGTGATCACCATCACATCTATCCTCTGGATCTGTCCTGAGACCCAGGGTTAGGAGACATTACGCCTTCCCTGCAGTCCCTGGTCTCAGTGTTGGGCAGACCTCACTCTCTCCATCAGGCACTCTGCTGGACACCCGCTTCCCCAGGCTTGGTTGGGTTGTTTTGGTTTTTTTAGAATTCTTTGTTATTTTTGAGCAAAAGTGCCTTTTAACACAGAAAATGTAATTACTGCAGTCTTTCTTGCCAAAGATGTTTGTTTTTCCAGTTGCTCCAATGACGTTTCACAAACAGAGGAGTGAATTCCAATTAACTCCACAAGTGTTTGTCCCTAAGAAATCATTCAAGGAACACAACAATGTATTAGTGCTCACAGGCATATCAACCTCGAAAGAACCACCAGGTATGGTTAACTAGACCATTCTTCAGTGCTCACAAGTGCCCCAATCCTGCTAACACTTGAGCACTGCTGAGCCTGTAACAGGGAGGAAGGTCTAGACAGAAGCTAAGAAAGAATGGAAATTGTTTTCATTACTGTATTAGAGACCTTAAAAAAAAATAAATTTCTTGCTTGTCCTTGTGACATACACACAGAAATGAAAAAAAAACATTTTGAATAACTGTGGTTTATTGTTTTTAAATGCAATAGGCATCTTCTGCTTCACAGAAAAATAATTTCCTTCTCAAAATTACACTCCTCACCCTTACGTGCCTGTGACTTGTGCTGAAGATCACGGAAATTACTGGCTAAGAGGTCCCTGAAGTTAATGTTTCCTTCCCTACCAAAGCAGCTTGGGTGGGAGGTGACTGGGCAAAACAGGGGGGACGTGGCCTGAGTGCTGCCTGGCAGAAGAGAACCATCCACGAATGAGAAGGAAAATAAATTAACTTGCTTTAAGTTCTTGTTTTGAGTTGCACAGCTTCTGCCAAGATGCTTAAAGATCAGCACTTGGACATCTTTATTTTCTACTGCGAACAGAGGGCTGGCCCCAGGTCTGCTTTCTCTGCACCAGAGAGGAAGAGCAGACTCAGGGAGGACACAACATAGTGTTAATCACACCCGTGTCCAAGCTTTGTGTTTGCGATACCTGGTTTGCTTTTCATCCTCCACTCTACCTTCCACATCAAGTGTTTCCTCAGGTAGGAGGCATGTACCCAGAGTGCTCTGTAATAAAGCCTGAAGCTGATGAAGGACGACTGCTTCGCATTCTTCAAGGTCATCATCTTTCAGACTGCCAGCCCGATTACAAAAGCTACAAAAGAAAACAGGTATCACATGCAGCATTTATTTAAAGCCCAGACAGCCAGCACTGGTTTGGAGGCAAAAGCTGTAACACTTCTAGATAATGGGATAACTTGTGGGACAGTCCAGAGGAACAAATATCCATGATGCTCTATGTGAATAATACAGAACAGGACAGGCTGGAGGGGCCAGTTCGGTTTGGAAACCCTTCCACCTAATTCCCTAAAAATTCACTAAACATCAGGTGGGAATCCTAGTTGATGGAGGCTGGTGTAAAATTGTGAATAAAATTACAAAGCTGTTCCCAGTTCTTGTAATTAAAAGGTTGTGCTGTGGAGGGACAGTGAGGCCACTCTCACCCTGGTTTTGTTAACACGTGGATTTTGGTGATTCTTTTTGCTCTTTTACCCCAAAGAGGAAGTTATTTTTTCTGGTTATTGTTGTCAACCTCAGTAAATCATACTAGCATTACGAGCTAAGGGGACGCTCTCTTTCTTGGGGATAAGTATTTACTTCATCTAAGGAACCTGCAGAGCAAGGCTGCAAAAAACACCATGTTTAGGCAAGAGCATTTGTTGGAGTAATTTGCGTATGTGCTTCTAAGTGCCATATTTCAGCTCTCTGATGACACTAAAACGGTAGAAGGGGAAGGAAGCCTTTTAGCAACTGGCAATGTTTGTTTGCAGGAGCCCACTTGCTCTTTGCACTGGCCATTTGTTACCACAAGAGCAGCATCCCTGGCCTGAGTCTCAACAGACTGCTGCAGAGCTGCTCGGTAACAGCCTCTCGCCATTGCTCACCTGAGCTCAATGAGAAGCATGTAAGCAATCAACAAAGTTATTACAAGCATTAACATTAGGCTTAAGGCAGGAAGCAAACAAGAACAAAGGGGGCATGGAGAGAGGAACAGACAGCACTGCCCTTCTCCTGGTACCTGCCAGGGCAGTGGAGAGGAGCTGCAGTGCGCTGGTATGTTGGCACTAACCTGAGCAGCTCGGCTGTCCCCACTGTCCCCACGTGCTGGTAAAGTACCCGGTGCTCAGGGCTTGTCCTCCCCGCCACATCTTCTATCAAATGAAGTGCCTGGGACAGTCCCACCAGCATCCCACAGTGCCTGCAGGCAGAAGAGCAAACAGGGCTTGAAGTGACCCGAGTTACAACAGGTATTTAAATCACATCCCCATCGCATGCATTGGAAAAGCAAACACCCTCATTTTTATATCAAACAATAGCAAAAAACACATTGTATGAGCTCTGCAGAAAGAAAAAAAAAGAGGGCAGATAAGAAAAAGAACAAACCAACATACAAAAACCAGGCAAAGCCTGAGATGCTGCACTGAAATTACCCTGCCCATACTAGTTTAATTCCTTCACCTCCACAATCAGAATAAATCTGGTGACCACCTAAAGGTACGAGGACATAACTGGGACCTCAGAGGGGTTGTGATGAAGCTGCACTTCTATAATGATGCAAATTAGGACTTAAACATTGAAACAATACAGCAGGCTAATCCTTGAACTGGGGTGTAAATGGCTATTCAGGTCCATCCCGGCTTTCTGCTTTGTTGGGGACTTTCCAGGCCAGGTCTCCCTCAGCTGGGTCTGTGCCCCCAGAGTCCCACATATAATAATTTTCTTTTTGCCTTTTTTTTTTCTTTGTGGAAACGGACATATTTATACTGTTAACCTTGGTTTGTGCTCCCTCAAGTGAAGAGCTCTGTGCACAAAAACTTGCATCATTTTTGCAATCATGTTATGCTATACTGAAAGCTGTGTTTTCCATTGGACTGTTGGGTAACAACGAACAATTAAGTGGGAGCTGCCTTGCATTTAGTTGAGTTTCCTAGACATTTAATAAGCAAAACAATGCCAGGGGGATCACATATGCAGTTAAACAGTGCTTTTTCTTTTCCTCCAGTCTTACAAACCCTGTATTTTAGTGGCCAGCTCGTTTCCCATTGTTTTCCTCCCACTGGGTGGTCCTTCCAGGGTGCCACTCGAGAGGGATACAATAATAAAAAGGGAAGGGGAAGGAAGGGACACCAACATAAAGAAAAACAAAATGTATGACAATCTGCAGCAGGCTACGGATCAGAGGTCAGCAAACAAGAGGTCCTTCTCTTTTACAGGTTGCTTCCTGGAAACAGTCTGATTAAGCTGACAGCTTGAATTATGTGTTACATTTTGTAATGCACAATCCATCTGTGCTAAGTCCTCTTCAATGCAGCTGAAGCAGCACAGGCATAAGCTCTGCCTTTTTCCACCCCCTCAGCACAGGCCTTAAAATAGTCATCATCTTTCTCTGCACTAATTCTCTGAGACCCTCTCCCCCTTTCCTGCTCCCTGGGTTTAAGCCCTTAAAGAAAGGGCTGGATGCTGTAAGGAATGGTAAGAGGATACGGAGCCTTTCACCTCTGGTTCAGCTCCTCAGACCAACAAGGAGCAGCCAAGAACTGGAGCTATTGGGGTAGCTTCACCTGGCAGGAGGGGCAGTGGGTGCCTTTACAAGCCAGGCAAGGCCTCACTCACCAGTGGGCTCCGGACTGCAGACCTGATGGGAAAATAGATGGATCAGGCTCTAGCCCGGGACTGAGCTGGTGGGACATTTGAAGAGGTGTGTGTGTAACCTCTGGTCAACACAACCACCTAGCAGTGCTCCAAAACATGGTACTTAGTTATTAAAAATGGTGTTTTTACAAAATAAGGTAGCAAAATTGCAGCAACACACTGTGATCTGTGACTGAGACACAAAGCTAAATAACCTTTGACAGCAACGTCACCTTTCTTTGCTTATTAACCGGATGATGTTACTGCGATAACGATGCCTCTCGCTGGAAAAGGCAGTTGGAAATTAGACTGAATTCACCCAGAAAAAAAATACAACCAGCAAACACTTACTGTGGGAGAATAACCCAAAACTTAAAGAAAAACAAACAACAAGACAATGGTATTTCTGCAGTAAGGTAGGAAAGGCTTTTTCTCCAAAAAATATAAACTTGTGACTTCCTGACACGCACAAGGATTTTGTTTTGCCTTTCCAGTGAGCTGCGATCCCTGCCCATAGGGGCTACTTTCCCCTCCATCACTTATACCGATTTCAAATGAGACACCAAAAGTGCACAAATGACCCAGCGATGACAAGAGAGGAATGATGCTTCATTTGGATGCCTCACCTGTAACACAGATCCAGCAGGAAAGTCCAAGCTACAGAGATTTCAATTTATATAAATATAAATAGTTTTGCAAAATTTCCTCCTATTTATTCAGCCAGTGTAGGAATTTCATAAGAGTGGACTGAAGGGACCTGTGATGTTACTGATTCTGTGTATTGGTGGTGTGGTCCGTTCAGACCAAAAAGTTGCATTCTCATTGTTTGTGTAATTTATAAATTGAAATTCCTGTACTAATTACTTGGAAACCTTCACCCAAGATTTTCAGCTCATGAATTATCTTGAAAGTCTCCAGTGTGCTTGCTGCATTTCACTTGCATAGGAAAGATGGACATAGGAACCCCATCACTTACAAGGATAACAATGGAAAAGGCTGCTTATCCCTCCACAAGACCGTTCGTGCCTGCCATTTTTTAATTTTATCTGCATTTTAATTTTCAGGTAAAACTAATTAAAATTTGTATCCTTTCTACAGAAACAGCTTCCAGTGGTGATCCCACTTCTATGGCCTTGAGAAACGGAGGTATTCAGCTTGGCATAATGCGAGAGGAAACCTCCACTTTCTGGTTTCAGTTGTGCTCTGCAGATAATGCAAGCAGTGAAACCTTTTGTATAATTTAGCTGGGCTTCAAGAGCATTGCACAGTATTTTCATCAGTTTATGAACAGTGAGACATCACTAGTATCAACAGGGAGAGAACAAAAGGTTAAATTACCATCGCTCAGCTATGACTTCTCCAGCAAAGGCAAGCACTCTGTGCAACTTCCCTACGAAGTGTTACGATTAACAGGTGCTATACAAAAGAAAAACTGAGTAAAAGCTATTTAGATGTAAATTAGATGGTATTTCCATAGCAAGCAATGGTCTGATGCAAATGTGAAATGATAAAGTTACAGAAGTGTATATTGATGGCCACTGGTTTCTGTTCAGCTGTCATCTATTAAAATACAAACTAACATTGAAATCAGTACCCAAGATCATGAATACAGGAAGAATGCATGCATGAAGCAGATAAAAGCTGCAAACAACAAAAAAGGAACAAAAACCCAACCTGGATAAGAGCACTCCTCATTTTCCAGGAGTAAAAACGCTGGTTTCCTTTGTAGATGTTCCCTCCCCAACATACAGGCACCACCTAACCACCCTATCTAGTTATCTAGATAACTGCTCCAGCTAGGAGCATTTTGATGTGAATAGTGCCCACATAAGGTAGGGAGACCCAAGGAGAGTAGCACCCACTGTAATACAGCAGGTGCTATCCCCATGAAGAGATGACAGCAGTTGGCATGGGAGCAAAGCCAGCCCGCCCAAGCAAACTGAGCAAACCCCGTGGACCATCTCATAGTGGGTGCTGTCCCACCCAGGCCAAAAATCCAGCTGCAATTGATATTACAGCTGATACTCTATTATTGCAGGTGTTGTTGGCAATAAAACTCCATGACTTCCACAAGCCATGCATCTGTGCCACACTTTCCTCATACTTGCTCTTGTTCTCTCTCTGCTATTTCCAAACAAAATGCTCAATAAATGTAACTAACTGGAAATATTAACCCCCACAAAATACACTGCTTAGCAAACTAGAAGTACTATTATATACACTTGCTGAAATAAGATTTGTGTGCATTAGAGAACATCTATTAAATTTTAAAAACAACTTATCCAAGTCTGACTGGACTGAGTTACCTGAAGCCATTTAACCACAAGCACAGAGGTAGAAAGGTACTAAATAAATAGGTAAGACGTTTTCCCATTTGTATGGGAGCTTTAGTGCCCTGCATCAATCCAGATGTAAAAAGAGCCTCCAGGACACAGCCTAACACATACGTACTGGCAGAGGGAAAATACATTAGGACATACCTGTCTGGTGCTGAGCTGACCGAGGGCTTCTCCTGTGCTGCAAAGGGATTTGGTGGTTCCATTGAGGAGCCCTCCACAGCATGGGCATCCCAGCTGGCTCCTGGAGAGGCTGTTCCCTGTGGCACATCAGCAACACTCACCATCACCTCTTCGGCACTTGCAGGGACTGGGACCTCAACACTGCTCTCCCCGCTCGCCTCCTTACAAGCCCACTGATCACTGAGGTGAGGGTCTGGTGCTGTAAAAAAAACAACAAACACAACCGCCCCCCCCCCCAACATTATTCCCAAATATCAGGACCGAGGAGTACATGGTAGCGTAGGGAATTAAAATCAGATTACCTATGCTGTTAATTCACCTCTTTCACTTAACAGGCATTGATGAGCATCCCTCTGCTCTCCCTTCCCTTTGGTGAAGACTGGTTAAGGTTGGAAAGGACCTTAAAGATCATCAGGGTAGTGATGAAGGTAGATCTGGGAGTCCCTGCCCACGGCCCTGTGTCCTTCCACACTGCTCTCGCAAGGGGGAGTCCAGGGAGGCTCCAGTCTTGTGAGTTAGCAGCTCCCGGTGGGTGGGAGACAAACCTGGCACTCCTCAAAAACCATCACTACTTCACTAAATCATCTCCAAGGAATGATGAAGCAGAAGATGGAAAATGCTTTTCTTAGGGGAAAAAAGCACACCTGAAGAGGCTATTATGGTACACATTTTTTAACCTGGCAGAAGTACATACCTGGAGGCTTTTAAACTCTGCACATTAATTGCCTTCTCTAAAAGAGGAGAGTACAGGGCTGAATCGTTTCAAAGATGACAAATACGTGCCACTTATCTTTTTATAGATTACTCAAAAGTCAGTGGACAAGCTAGCACTGTAACAAATTAGCATTGTTACAGAAATTCCTACTTTTCCATAAAATTCACCATGAGTTTAAATTAACCAGCATTCACACACCTGCTAACACTACAGCACCAACATCTCTGCTTGTCTTGGTCACGGAGTTTCAGTGGTACCAAATCACTCAAGATTATGCCAAACAGTAGCTTGTACAAGGAGCGGCTCTCTTAGCTTTATTTCCAAATCTGTGAAGCAAGTGTGAGCAATATAAATGTCACTCCTGCACTTGCTAGAAAATGAGGATGGAGAGGAACAGAGGGTTTTTTTCCCCAGTTTGGGGGGTGGGGAAATAGGGGCCATTTTCTTGCTTTGTTAACCTGAGGGAAATGGGATTTGCTAACTCCTATGCTTTGTGCTGGCACTGCTGAGCAGCAGCCAGGAAGCAGCAGGAAAGGCTGGTGAATGCCGCTCTGCATTGAGCAGGCAGCACTGAGCTGAGCCCTAGGTACAGCACAGCCCAGCATCTTCATCAGCTGCTATCACTGCAGCATTTAAGGTCAGGCTTAGGAGAGCTGGAACAAGCCTGTTCCCTCCAGACATTACAACCAGGACTGCATTAGCCTGTGCACTTTGCAACACACATTTGGCAGCAGACAGACATCAAAAGCCCCCCAGGCAGTATGAGGTGATTACTGTGCCATTTGACAAAAAGCTTGTTTTGATTTTGAACCCAACTATACAGCTTCTCTGAAGGCAGAGATACTGCATTCCAGAAATTAAATGAGTATTTCTTTCCCAGACACGATGCTGGCCTCCTGAGCCTTCCCCATGAGGAGGAACCAGAGCTCCAGGGCTAATGGAAGCCAGGCTGGACTGGTCTCCTCCCAGTGCCAGCAAGGACAGACTTCCATTAAAATGAAGTGGCAAATACATTAGATGAAAGAAAATGAGAGTCAAACAAATTCCTTAGAGAAATAAAAAGGGAAAAAAACCCAACAACCTGAAGAAAAAGGATGCCAGGAAAACCCCAAGAAGTAGCACAGAAGATCACCTGATCTGGATGCTAGCTTTCCAGAAAAGAAAACCACGGTCATTACAAGAGAGCAGGAGTCCCTACATCACTAGGGTTGCAATCAGTTTCCATTATAAATAGCTCTATTTTAGCAATTGTTACAGGGCTTGGAAAACCAGCTTAAGTTGAAAATCGCTTGTTAGCTGGCAAGGCAAGGGAGAGTATTTCTGCAAGGTCTTAAAAACAGGAATAAACTGCTACTTAGCGATAAAACTTTGTCACTGCAACTTCAAAAACACATCCATTAACTTACTTCAAAGTAAGTTACCAAGCCAGTAGAACAGGAGAAAACACATCTTTCCAAGACAGCTGGTGGAGGAAGTAAAATTAAAAAGAAAGCTGGGAATTTGGGACACAGCCTTCAACAGAAGTGCCTCTTGTTTCAGAGCAAGAGAATCTCAGCTGAGGTCTGCCCCATCTTTCCCAGGGAAGCTGGGAACAAGGCAGAGCACCACCACTAAGTAGGAGTTAATCCAGCCACACAGGGGGGCACACTGATCCTCAGACTACATTGCCAAATCCCATTTTCCTAAATGGATGAACTATTGTGCACAATTGTTTGAGGGAGAAGGAAATCGACACAAAAAAGAAGTGACGTACTCTGCCAGTGAAGTAGGTTCACATTAAAACTCCTAAAATGAGGCTTAGACTACTTCAAGACAACCATGGGCACAGAGAACCTGGACAGGCTGAGCCCCCAGCAAGCCCTTGCCTGTCCAGATGAGTGTTCTGGGAGGAAATGGGAGTCAAAAGGAAACAAAACAGAGGAAAAAAAGAAAAAAGTGCTGCCACGATTCAGCCATGGCACAACACACAACAGGGAAAATCAGTAGCTGAGCATATCAGTCTGGTTGGGACAAGTGTGCTCCAGCCCCAGGCAGAGGCAGGCAGACACATGTCCCACTGTACCTGGGATGCTTCCCCGCCGTTGTTCCTTCTCGGGGGTGGCCAGTTCAGGATCAGAGGCTGAAGAAGTGAGATGCTTGGAGCCTTCCTCACTGGCTGCCAGGTCCTCACATCCTGCTGCTCCCTCCACTGATGCATGACTCTCTAAATCAGCACTTCTGCTCTCTGGACCAAGTCCTCCAAGCGAGGGACAGCACGAAGGCAGGCCGGGTGCCACACTGCTCTCTGTGGGCTGGGGGGGCTTTTGCCAAATGCTCAAATCTCCAGTGGCTGAGACAGCTGATGTGTGGTAGCCCATGAAGACTGTTGCTGGATGATACAGTTCTCTTAGTACAGCTGCCCCGGTGCTAATTCTTGCCTGTCTCCCAAGCCATGCCATCTGAAAAACACAGGTGGGAGACGGCTTAAGGAAACAGGCAGCATGTTGCAAACGAAGCTTCTAGAGGATTGCATGTTGATTTCTGGAGAGAAAAGTGCAGCAGAATTAAAGTATTTTGTATAGTAGCATTATTACACAAACACGTGGCATGCATTTCTTGCACCCTGCTCCAAAGAACCTCCTCCTGCCCCTCATCTCATGGTCTTCTCTAGAAGGCAATGGAATAAGGAAGGGTCCTCAGAAAGTCTAAAACATACATCTGCTATCGCTGACTTGTCTGTATATCCAGCTTTGCTCACAGCATGTCAACAAAGCAAGTAAGAATGATGAAAAAAACACTGTATTCATTGTCTTCCCTCTGCTCTTTCCTGTCTGTTAAATAACACCAAAGAGGAAGAACGACTACTCAGCTAACAAACTTGAAGATGAAATCACATTTTCCACAAGGCTATTTTTGGCACTAAGCAAAAAAATTTTAAATGGCACTTTCCTTCAAGAACTGTTGAACTTGCATAAAAATAGTTCTAACAGTATAATCACTCTGCTTCTAAAACCCAGTGTTTTAATACTTGCCTCTTTTTCTTTGTAAACCTACTCAATCAGAACTATTTAGGAGGAGTGGCTACTGCCACCACTACTACTGAAAGGTCACCGCCAGTTTATGCAAAGCCAAAATTAGCTATTGTAATACCAGTGTTCAGAATAAGCAGGGCTTACTTTTCAGCCCCAAATCACAGCAAGACAATTTACAGTCACCTCCATACCTCCCTCTTCTCTTTCATTGGCCTGACCTCTTCCTACCATACAAAGTCAGCTGCCAAGCCCAGCTTAAAGGAAACAAAGGCATCTTGTCTAGTCTGTGACCAAGTTTCATTTAAAAAGCTCAAATTCCACATAACAAGAAGCAAAACAAAAAGCCATTAAGTTATTTTAAGAAGGAGTAAAGGTTTGCTACTCAGATTAAGTTCACAGCTTATTCCATCACCACCGCTCTCGGGTTCCCCCTAATTACTTTTCAGGTCTTGGATGTGCTGCTTTAAAATGCGCCTAGCAAGTACATTATGGATTTAGCAGCTCCTGAATGTAATATTCCAAAACAAATGCAATTCAAACAGGTACAAGTGCAGAGTCATAGTAGACATACATCTCTAATAAGCTCCTCTTTGACTGCAGGAAGAAAAACATCTCTTCCTTGCCTTTGCATTCTTAAAACGAAAGTGTGGCAGTGAACATTTGTCTAGGAACTGGTTTTATCACCAAAAACAAAATAGTAAAAATGTGTTGGTGATTCACCTGTACTAGACAACAAAATGACTGAACTTCATGTCACCCTAGCTGGGAGTTAAACAAAGTCTGTGCACAAAGCACACTTATAACCTTTTGATTGTGGAGTGCAGGCTCCCCACTTCTCCTTCCACTAACAAACACAAGTTTTTTTCTTATTTTCATTGAAGTATTAGAAAAGAATGAGGATGATAAAAAAAAGCACACACCCTTCCACTAAGACTTAAAAAAGAACCCCATCTCTCACTGCAGCAGACCATCACATGAAAGCCAGGAAAGCAGAGCCAGAGGCTTGTCCCTTCCAGGTGCCAGGTGTTACTGTCACCTGGTGGCACTCTCTTTCAAGGAAGGATGCTCTGCCACTCACAGGCACTCCTGGAAGGAGCTCTATGCCCTATGTCTGAAAGATGCACAAGTCCAAAACCTTCAAAAGACTTCAAGAAAGTGTTTTGAAGTTGAAGCAGTCAGATTTCATTGCACAAAGGTTTCAGAAGCCTAGGACATACAGCTCTGGCAGCCGAGAAGGACCTCTTCAGTACAGGACCTCTTCTCCCACTTCTAACACCAGACTGCCATTACACTGGGCTCAAGTCCTTTCCATGGAGAATTGTGATTTTCTAGACAAACACTGTTTGGGTATTTGATTTCTGAGCTTAAGGACTCCCGTGAGAGTCCAAAAGGGTGCATATCCCACGGCTCAGAGAAAACTCAGATATTCACACTGGCATTTTAGAGGATACTGATCACCTCTAGGAGATTGTTCTTTGATTGTCCTGCTTGGTCTCCAAGATGTATCACCAACAAGGTTATCACTCAATTACTGGCATCCTGACTAGCCTGAAGAAAACCATTACAATACCAGTGCTGGTAAATAAAAACAGTTCCCAGCTGCTACAATCCACATCCTGGATATACCACTGACGGACTGCATGTGTTGCTGTGACTGATTCTCTGCCACATCACTGAGAACAAACTCTCTTATTTTAGACATAAGAACATTTTAAGTGAGGTGAAGGTGGTGGGAATTGGGCACCATCAGTCTGAAAAAAAATAAATTAAAAATCGAGTTACAGAGTAAGATTTGAGACAATCACATAGACAAGGCAGAAGGATGCACAATTTAGTTGAAGTTACCTTCGTAGTTTTATGGGGGGAGATGAAGAGAGGAAAAGACGGGGACAGGGGAGGAAAGAGTCCACAATCAAGCAGTTAAATGTAATTCAACATAAAGTGACATATTTAAGTGTGCATCAAGTTCTTGTACTGTCCAAAACCTGCTAACACTTTCTAAAAATCTAAGTCTCTGTAAGCCTCTCACGTTCTAGTATTTATGTAAACTTCTCCATAGGTTAGAAAGCATGTCTCCTACACCAACTGCTTTTAGCTGAAGAATCTAGCATTTAGAAAAAGCCTCACCTTTTCACACAGGTCTGAATTAAAAATGTAATTCGCAAACTGCTGGAGGCCTGCTTATATAGGTCAAGGTTGCTCGGGTTCATTGCTTTGTATATTACAGTTTAAAGAATGTTGTAAATTCAAGGTTTTTAACTTTTTAATCTATGGGGAAAACTTCCTATAAACTCAGATTAACGACTGCTAATGCACTGAAGAAAGAAAACTGAAAACCTTCCTTCTACTATAAAAACAAAATAGTGTGGCCTCTGTTTCTTTTCTGATAAGAGTCTTAAATACCAAACATTTAACTGCATAATAACATTTACTGGCAGCCAGGCAGCCTGCTTAGCAGATATATAAAGCAGGTAAAAGGAGAAAAAGTTAATTTCTTGGCTGAATGATTCCATCGGTAGCTATAGGGCAAACTAGAAAGTCTTTTAGTAAAGTAGCAGTTGATTCTTCTATCAATCTGCAGCACACATACTCTTCCAAGGAATGCATTAAATATGAAAATCATATCCCGTTATCATCTGTTCCCAGCTTTCAGCCCAGTAAGCTTTTCTTAATGAATGCTGTAGCCTAAGGGACAAGCATGCTGTTGGCTTTTCTGAATAATGGAGTGATGCAACCATTCCTG